TCCTGCGCCTGATATATCAGTGATTTTCCACCTTTGCGTTATCGTCTGGAAAGTTCGCCGAGTCATGCCGCGGTTCCGGAGCGGTTGGTTTCGCCTAATAACCGTCTTCTGCCCAGCGCAAACCGGTCCGGATGCGTGCAACCTTCCTAACGTGCACTAGACCGAAGTTTTTTTCCAGGATATTTCAATTAGTAAAAAATAAACATGTAAAGAATCATAAAGTCAAGAAAAGAATTATCGCAAACATCTTTCGAAAACATATTCAACAGCTGTTAACTAGAAATTTTTTAAATTAAAATTTGATTAAAATTAGACAGTAGTAATAAATTAAGAAATAATGATAATAATAATGCGGCGTGATAAGTGATGCACAAATTAAATAATTCTTTAATTAAAAAGTTAAATTAATGCGTAATTAAACGATCAGACGTTTCAGCTCTGCTTCAAGCTATTTTCAGCAATGACATATGTATAACAAAATATGTGAGATAATCTCACGTGTTTAACATGAGTAAGTGCTTCCAGATTTAATGATCTAAAAGTAAATTTCTTCGCACAAAGGCGATTGCAAGCGATATATTTGCAAACGGATATTGAATGCCTATATTATGCATACGCCTCTATTTTATTCCCTGTCCATTTTATTATTTAATATTACATTACAATATCATTGTTACTTTAAATTCGCTTTTCTCTTTTTACATTGTTTGACCTACTACGTTTTGAATTAAGTATAACATTAATTTTACTTTATGACGTTTTTATTCGTGACTTTACCGTTTTATATTTCCGCTCATCTCGTAAGTTTTAGTTCTTGACTGTCACTTGACTTACTTCAAATAACTTTACTGTAAAATTATTATTATTTTGTCAAGATGACTTATAATATTTATTTATTACCAAAGTTTCACTCTTATTCTCTTATATTTTTTAGACTTCCTGAATGATTTTATGATATTATTTGTCCTCATTCTAAAATACACACTTTTAATTTTCTCTTTGTAATCAATTTACAGGTTAATCTCTTTTGGCCAATTTTCCTCGGTCTTCGAACCTCATGTAAAGAAATTTACTTTTAGATCATTCAATTTGAAAGTACTTATCTATATTAGTCGGAAAATGTAAGATCATCTCATTGCATGTTTATTATGTTATTGTTGATAAGGATGGGCTGAAGCAGAATTAAAATGTTCGATCGTTTAATTAAACATCAATTTAATTTTTTTAATTAAAGAATTTATATCTTTAATTTGCGTATCATTTATTACTTAATTTCTTATTTATATATAGATATGTAGATAAGAGTGATCCTATCTTCAGAAGAGAGTGTTCCCTGTTATGAGATAGGCTTCCCCCTAATATGAGATAGCGAGGTTTCTAAACTAATAGGCACCATTTGTTGGTTTCACTAACAACTTATTACATCTTAGGGTGGAATCTATTTAGTAGAATATTTATTATTAGATCGTGCGTGTAGTCGTTCAAAAAAAGATTTGTGAAATTGAATGTGTTAAATTTCATTGAGGTAAATCTTTAAATCTTGTTTATTCTATAATATGTAAATAAATATTTGACAATAAATTCTGTATGCAGTGATAGAATAAGATCATATTAATAGGAAAATATGAGGGATGTTAAATAAATATTGTTTAATTAGATTAGGTTTAATAATCGCGAACACGCAAGACGTGGGGCTCATAATATGAGATTCTCAGGACTCTTAATAGGTAACCTGTGCTCCTTGGCTCGATTGGCGATCATTGTTGGAGTATGAAGGTTATTGTACAATAATAAAAAGAGTAATAAAAATAATAGTAATAAAAAAGGTCCAAAAATGCTCATGCAGGGCGCACACTAGTTGCGCTGGAAATATTGGGTGGATTTGCGAATAAGCTTCTCTATTACATTTATATTTCAGAAACATTACATAAAGTTTTCTAATTTCAATACTGTATGTATTTTGCACTTTATTACATTGTTAAATTTATAGTGTTAAATTTAACTTTATTTAAATCGCCACTGCTCTTACTTAATAAGTAATTATTTTTTAATTAAAACACTGGAGTTATATAATTTAAAACAGTTCAAATTTAAACCCCAAATTTGGGTTAAATTCCATTGTTTTAGTTAAAAATAATTATATATTAAGTAGAAGCAGTGGCGATTTAAGGTTAAATTTGACACTGTAGATTTAACAATGGAGCAATTATCGAAGTACTTTATATTAGAAGCATTTTTTCTATTTTGTATAAAAGTTTTTTTTACATTTTTTTATTTTCAGAAAAATTATATTTAACTTAAATTTTCTATTTCAGTATCTTAAAGTTTCTTAAATTTTTCAAAATGATTTATTACATTTTTTAATTCTGCTCGTAGACTTTAATTACACAATGAATTAACTTGGTATCATATAATAAAGGATTTCCTCTTCATTATCGAAAGTCCTTAGACAATTATTTCTTTATTAGATAATAGTAATTCCATTGTTTATTTATTTATATAAAAAGTAAAAAATAAACATGTACAAAAAGATTATGCTTCAACTTTCAAAAACATATTCGACATTTTAAATCTTCAACTGAAAATTTGGCTAAAATTCGGTAAATAAATAATGTTACATTATTTATTTATTTGTACGAAAAGTTTCCTTTACCTCAAAAGTGTTTAATATTTTCGATAATAATTTAATTGTTTTGATTATCTGAAAAGCAATTAATTGTTATTTCAATATTAATTAACACTTTGATATTTTTGTTAATTAAAAGTTGTCTCGAGATATTCACAAAGTATTTGTAGATACAAGTAAGTTTTTATCCATAACTAGTAGTAATTTCATCTTCTGAAACATCCTGTACCAGTGATCTTTATATCAAGGAATAAAATCTACTTGCGCGATCGGTTAACGATCAGTCCCGTTTACCGTCCAAGGCTGTCCGTGCGAGACGCAATCGCGTGCTTGATGCAATTTTCCATCTAACGGTACAGCATGTCCACCCGAGTATGAATACAGCTTTCAAGTAATTGCAAGCCACGGGAGAAACGAAGCGAGACGCGGCGCGTTTCAGAGCACGTTGCTTCCTGATAAATTAATTAGCTGGAATATTGTTCGCGCAATTCGCGATTTCCTTATCGGAATATATCTGATAGCAAAAACGAAAAAGCCACATTTTCCCCTTTATGTTTGTAAGTGAAAAGTATCGATACCCGTGTGCGCGTATTATAATAATAATAATCCTAAAATAATAATGCTTCTTTATTCATTGACGTGTGCGAGATTTCGATTATCTTCCATATGCGGTATGTATATCTGCTTTCCATTAGCATAATAAAATCGTTAGCCGATTAAATTCTCATAAAAATTGTCGCGATTGCGATTCATTCGCCTCTGCCGGATCTCCGGACGTCAAAAAAGGTGTGCGCGCGCGCGGCTTCGATTCCAGGAACGACAAACGGGAGATGATGGGGAGGGGAGAAAAAAAAAGAAATGACGATATATACGATCGACAACTTTTAATGAAGTTCAAGGATTTCCTCGATTTTTCATATATCCCTCGGAGCGCAAATACCCGTTTCACTTTAGAAAACTACATCGCTCGTTACGCCTGCCGATATGTTTGTTCGTGTGTAACGTTGATCGCCTGCAGGCTGCGGTATAGTGGCGTCTCGCATCCAACTCCCTGACGGGACAACTGATGCGTTTCCAATACGGTTGCCTAACAGCGGTCTTCAATGCCAGCGGGACGAACCCGCAGATCACAAAGTATACCAAATAGCGATTACGTGTCTGTTTTTCCTTTCTTTTTTTTCTTACGAGGAGCCCTGCTCTTCTTTGCGCGATTTTTGGATAATACTTGGTGTAATACTTCAAATAGAGGCTCGTAGAATAAAAAAAAGACATCTTATAGATTAAAGATATTCTGAAAACCTGTAAGTGATGTATGCTGTGCGATATGCCGACTGCTTTCTTGGTGCATAGTTTTCGTTCGACTCAGCACGTTTGACTCCGTTTTCGTATTTACTGCTTAACTATGTTTCATTCGATTATTCATACGACTCCGGATAATTATTATATGTTTTATTGGATCACTGTACAATATAATTACTGACTATATAATGCATAATTTTTTCGATCAAATTTATGCGATTGAGAAAGTTCTAGTAAAGATTGAAACTAATTTTGTTTTGTGTTTTATGCTACAAAATTAATGAATAAACTAATTCTGACAACTTGTTAATTTGTTCATCTTTTGTCGTTGATTTTCATTACTTTCTGTATTTACAATAATGAGCGTAATTTAAATTTTGTTTTAAAGATATCCTATCCAAATCTGTAATATTAAATGAGTTAATGTATCATATAATAAAAACATATTTATATCTTATTATCGAAAGATATACGTCAAACTTATATTGATTTAAAAAGTCGCAGTGTAGCGACCTCCTGAAAGGGTATTACATAAGAACACGTGTCCGAACTATACAGCCTTATTTAGTCTTATCTGCTGCGTTACGTCATAATATGTCCTCATTGTTAAAAAAAACGACTCGCGGAATAATGAGTATGTAAATATCGTGATAAAACTTATATCGCGTATGAGGCGATAAAAAACATGAAATCATCCGGCTTTAAGACGTAGACGAAATAAATTAAGACAAAACTATCGCGTGCACGGTTATGAGGAGGTTTAGCATTTTACCCCTCGCAAATACGATTTAAAAAAAAAACGGAACTTCGTAAGGAACATCTTTACCGAGACCGGCGGTATAACACGCTCTTTGTAATCCGGTTAACGAATAATTGAGGAAACTCTGTTTAGTAAAGGACGGCAAGTTCCGACCGCTGGGAAAACACTCGCTCGAGGAACGAGGAAGAAAATTACAAGGGATAAGAGGGACCGGTTGTCTGCGCGCGGGACTAAGAAGGGAGGCGGTTCAATTTAGATCGCGACTATATACGAGCGCGCACACTTGCGCGCAGCGTACGAAATTCAGCGCGTTACCTTGTAACTTCCGAGATTTTCGATGACACAGGGTAGGCTGACGTCCCTTCCCAGCGCCACCGTGACATTTGGTATGGGCTCGGCAAATATTGGCGGGTCGGAGAGCGCTGCAACACATAAAAAGGTTCTGTCAGTTATACACGTATCGAAAGCGTAATATAACGATCATCCTGTTCAACAAAAAACATGCACAAGAAAGAAGATAATTTATTTCCTATAGTTTTTTTTCTGAATGCTGAGTCCGATCCTGTTTATTTGTTCTCATCACGTCACATTTTGAAAAATTCACGAATAAAGTTGCAAGAAAGTGTTATTTTATGTATTTTGGAATATCAACTACGATATGCGACGTGCTGGAGAAATTAGTTTTATTGCAATAAAAATTAAGTGTGTCATTAGAACTTTCAGCTCTCTTGAAAGGGATTTGTTATGTCAATTATGGTTAAAAGGATATTTGTGAATTAATATAGGATCTATTGTGTCAAAATTTATATGTGTACAATTTATATGTGTAGGGCGCGCGAGATATAGATAAATAGTAGCGACGACTGATACCGATAAATCGTAATAGATATGGCGTGTACGTGAGAGATATGTACGAGTCAGCGAGATTTGATCGAGCGAACAGAATTGTAACGGATGTCATCGAATAAAGACAAGCAATTACCACACGTGAGTCTTAAGTTCAGTAGACCTTATTTGTGTGTGCATCTGAAAGCGAAAATAAACTACAAATTCAGGAGTGGAATCTGAACATTGGAAAACGGAGCATAGTTCGAAAACGCGATAAGAGACAGTGATAAATTCAAGATTATCGGAGCGGTAAGTAACCTTTCGGGCTGTGTGCGTGACCTCGTCGGACTGCGCGATCAGAAAGAAAGACAAATATCTTCGATATCGGGCCTTTCACTAACTGTACACGAGAAAGAAACGGACAGTGCAACTGTTTTGCTCGAGCGTGAAAGAAGAACAGACGGTGTTCATGTATTCTTAGTGCAAAATAAAAATATTATTAACTAAATATACTTTATTCGAAAGAGTTACGCGGCAAGTGTTCGTATTCGAATATAATAATGGATAAAACCTGAAACAGATGAAACGATTTTGACATCCAGTTCAACAAATTGCAACAAACAACGACTCGTTGCGATATCAAATCAAAGAACAAGAAAAGGTATCGATTTAAAGACCTTAACCCAGAAAAATTAGATTTTTTTTACGTATGGGCGGCAAAATTGTATATAAAGATTTGTTTGCAGAATGTTATTTGAAATGATAAAATCAATACTTTCAGAGATATTTTGGAAAAACAGCATTTTTGGTCAGTTTTTTGAAGCTGGAAAGTTACGCAAGTACGCAAGCAATCAAGATTTTTAATAGGTTATATAATATGCCATTTCGAACAACTTTCTGCTAACAGATCTTTATATAAAATTTTGCCGCCCAGACGTACAAATCTAATTTTCCTGAACTGTCTGGACAGAAACGGACGAGCTTCTACGACGTATTTTAGCATCTTTCGATGCTAAAGAAAATAACATAAATGCAGTCCAAGCTGCTACGGCCGATGAGCAAAGTGAAATGAATGCGCAAAAGTAAAATGAAAAGCACATCAGGCACCGCGAAAGTGCCTTATTGTTGCGAGAAAGAGATCTTCTGCAGAAAGAAAACGAGTTATTGCGGCGCGAAAATGATATGTTAAGAGCATCTTCACAGAATAGTACATCGTCCCGATTGTCCATGGCTTCCTTTTCTTCAGTCAATACGACTAATACAAGTAAGTACATATGTATATATAATATACATATAATGTATAGAGATTGCCAAAAGTTCGGGGCCACCTAAATAATTTCTGAACGGGTTGAGATATTAGATTAAAATTTATAGGGTTACAATGGTATAATATATAATCTATCATTTAACCTTGAAAACATTCACTTCAATCCTCCGGAGGGGGGAGTTGAAAATCTTACGGCATGTGAAATTGAGTGAGGGCTTGTTCGAAAGGGCTTTTTGAAACGACCACAAAGTCGTTAATAAGAGGATCCTAAACCCTAGATCAAACTCCAAAAATCCGCTGTTTTACCGACAATTTGTGAGTATGTATGCTGTCTCTTATACACATCTC